TGTTCATCTTGTTACGTGGGCCATACCCGTGTAATACAGTGATAGCGGGGCCCAGAGTTACTCAGTCCCTTTACAAAGTGACTTTACCGTAAAATCAATGCCTTGTGTTACTGATACAGGCGAAACTGCAGCAGATGGACACCGAGTGAGTGGGCAGAGAGGAAACTAATAAAAAAAAGCTACAACTCACCTTCAGTGGGGCATTGTTAAAGGCCCTCAAATCATAGCATATCTCTATGGTGTGACCATTATGTGACCATGCAGTAGTTAAAGAAAGGATTCCTGAATAATATGCAATGTGAAAGTTGTAATATGACTTATATGTAATGGGGTAACATGCCCACTTTCAGTTGATCTGGCTTTAAGGTGGCATCGTTCTTCCGTGCTCCACAGCCCTGAATCATTTCAAACTGCTTGTGTTTGACTGGCCTGAGCTGCCGTCCTAAAATGTTCAGAGCTGGAATTTAAACATCTGTCTTATCCGAATAGTGTTGGTTACAAAATACTATATTTAGAAGAGTTGGGAATAGAATCATTCTGTAGGAGGATTTTTATCTAATTTTAACAAATAAATTCTACATCCACAGTGGAAGCTCTGCCCCTCAGATGCTCTACACTCAATGGTCTGTACACCGAAATGATGAATATAGTTATCAAATGAAGGACAGCACATGTCAAATGTAACCTTAAAGACAACGAGAGAATTATAGCAAGAGAAAAACAAGCACATTTCAGTGAAGTGATGCGGGAGAGAGTCCACGTGTGGATAGTCAGCATTCGCAGGCCCACATACAGTATTTAAGTTAATATGCACATTGCACATTGTACAAAATTTATAAGCTGCCAGATGCTTGGCCAGAGCTCAGTTCAACACCTGAATCTAAAATGAATCTCTCACTCAGCCACATGTGCTCGGCTTGAATGACTGTTTAAATTCAGTAGTAGCCTGGAACCTTAAGTTAACAAGTTAATGTGAAACATTTGCAAGGTAATGCATTAATTCATGCTTTGATCCGCTGTCATAACCCAGTTTAATAAGTTGCAGTCCATTGACTATTAATTTGTTTCCAAATGGTGTGAGTTAGAGGAAGGGATCCAAAATGCTTTATTTTGCCACTAATGCAAATCAAACTCAGGCTATCTATTTAATATGCATGATTGGTTGGTGTAATGTAATTAAAATCACACTATTTAAATTATGCTAACAGTAAAAAAAATTAAACTTTAAATGTATTTTCAAAGTACACTTGCTTCTGCTGCTAAGAACAATTAGTTTTAGAAACTAATTCATTTATTGGATTAAGCTTCACTGTTCTTTTAACACTGTGAGATTTATTGGCCCTTTCTTTCACCCTAATGGGACATGAGTTTGAAAAAGCATATTTGGAGATTGAATGTGTTGCACAGTTAGTTTTTTAGGTTACCAGCAGATTGAAGTTTGAAGCCACTGAGGAACATTCCTGATTAACAACAACAGCTACATTCCCAACAGATGGGAATAAGTGGTTTATAATAAGATGGGTTAATATAGGAGTAGTCGCTTTTATGAATTACTCCGAGACTTTAGTTTTATGGGTTTCGTTTCACAAATTCATGTCATAGAAACTCCAGATTGTTAGTTAGTCCTCAGTGTTTTTTGTTTATCGTACTGACCTTAAAAGCTTTATTCCACTGTGATGGGAAAAAAAATATGATGAGTAAAATCAAACTCTGCAAGCTGCTGTACTTTCACATTTTAAGAAATGCTTAACTAGATTAGATCTGGTAAACCAAGCAAGTGCATTTTTTAAAAATCCATCTCTCTCTCTGTCTCTCTGTCTCTGACACACACACACACACACACACAGGCAGACAGATATGCGCATACCTCGAACTACCAGGGGTCATCAGTTTCGTTTTCTTAACCCAAATACTCATTCATCAGCGTAATTAACCGGAGCTGATCAGCAAGGGCTTCTTTAAAATTGATTCCATGTGAGATAAGAGATGTGTTCCCTCCCCCTCTTTCCTCCCTCTGTCACCGAGGCGTTATGGAAAGGATCCAAATGTGTAATTTGAAGTGCCTCTGTTTGAAGCCTTTGATCTCGCCTGTTTTGCGGAGGCTCGGTTCATCATTTCCGATGTGTCGCCGGTGCCCTGTGTATTGCATAAGGAACCACTGTTGAGCGATAGGCCGTGTATGTTTGCTTATGAGAACGTGAAATTGTGTCATCTGCATAATTACCGTCAACGAGCTCTCTGCTAAACAGCCCTCAAGTCGCTGGTGTGTGTTTGCCCTCTTTTACACGGCAGACTACCTACAAATCAAACTGGCTCCAGCTGCTCCCAACATTTCTCCTCTTTTTCTTTTTTAAAATAATCCTTTTAGTTTGAACAATGACACCAAAACTAATATTAAGTAGCCTATTACTTCTAATTGAAAGACATTTGCTATACGTCTTTGCTCCAGTTATGCTGGGGCTTGCAGTGCTTTATCTGGGCCTGCGTGCGCACGGAGCGCGTTTTTCCCCGAGTCAAGCAGAGGTTAGTTTACTGTTTACCCGGACTACCTTCAGGAGAAAAGAGGCGCAGCATCCTAATGCTTTATGGCCGCGTGCGCCGCTTTTCCCGGGACGGTGTGAAAGTGTTAAGTCGGTGCGTGGTGTGTTCGATTGGAGGAAATAAATCAGACACACACTCTGTGGAGTGGGTGGGACGTTCGCGGTGGGGAGCGGGAGAGGAGGTGTCTGAGAGATGCTGGGTCCCGGAGATGAGACACGTGTCCGCACCGGCTCTGGACGCTGCTCAGCGGCCACCGAGAGGCGGACACCTCGCTGGACTCTCCCACTCTCCCTCAGCCACGTTCCCTCTCTCTCTCCCTCTCTCTCTCTCTCTCTCTCTCTCGCTCTTCCTCTCTCTTCTCTGACACCCACACGTGGTTTTCTTTCACATTCTTTTTCTCCAGCTGAACTACAAGGTTTACCCCTTTTTGTTTTCCTTAACTCCACGTTATCGTTGCGGTATTGTGCGCCTGAACGTCCCATTCCTCCCATCTACTTGGGGCCCGTTTAAAAAAATTCGTCTCTCCCAAACACACACACACGCGCGCGCGCGCGCACCCGCACCCGCACACTGTTTGTGGACCCCCTTCACTTTGCAGGTCGATGTGTAACACGGGCACGTGCGCGCGCGCCAGAACGTGCGCGTCAAGTGGGAGCGTGCTATTGACTGCTATGTAGTGATTACCATTCCGGTCGGATGGCACCAGCAAGCCGCTGTAATTAATAACCCCATAATCCGGGTTGGGTATATGTCGGGGAACACACACGTATACACACACACACACACACACACACACACACACACACACACACACACGCACACACATATACACGTATATTCAGGACAGAGTTTTACAGAAACAAGGCGGATCCTTATGGGTAGCTCCACTGAAGAAATTATAGCTGCTATTATCCCTCCCAGACAATGATAACTATCTGCTTCAAAAGAAGATTAAAGGTTTATACAAGTTCAGAGTTCTTAGAAAACCGGATCGCATTATCAGACCTGAACTGAGATTGATGGGATTTCATCGCGCTGTCAATAAGGCATTAAGACTTACAGCACATTCAAATATGGTGCGTGAAATAATCATTCAACTTCTGCGGTTGTTTTGCAAACGATTAACAAAACAGATGCTGATACAAAGTCGGGTTGAAATGCGATTACGATTGTCCCCTACACAGTTTCATATATTGATTCACGGAATTTCAATTCTGAGTCCCTTGTTTGGGTTTAATCCGCCGCATTTACAAGTAACACCAGGTTGCATTAAAACATCAAATGAGTTTCTTTTTAAGCATGAGTGGTTTATTCTTTTGAGGATAAAAAAAAGTCTTTATAAAAATCACTTAATCACTGCTTGACATAAGCTTTTCTTGAAACAATCTGTTATCATCATCATTATTATGATAATAACAATAATATTGATAATAAGAATAAATGAGTGAGGTGATGTTTATTATTCTTCATATTATTATTCTCATAAATATTATTAATATGTTTTTGTTTTTATTTATTATTTTCATGATGTTTTTTTAATTTATTTTTTTTATTTTAACTTTCCGTTTGCTCTCTGGAGTAAGAGTGTTATTTCCCGGAACAAACACTTTTCCAGTCCCAATCCACAAGAATGTGTGTCACACAGTCTTGGTTGTTCCTTCACACTCTTCTTCATTAACAGCGTAATGTGCACATCATCAGCCCTCACTTTGATGTCAAGTGGCTAATATGCGACCGGTGTGATGTATCAAATTAAAGAATGTCGATTCTGCAATTCTCCTGCCTCCTAGAGCCCTTAACACCTCCAAATCGGTGTAAGAAAACACAGCTTGCACGCAGCGATGAAGTGATACATAGAAAAAAGATCTCCATGTAAGGGGAGAGCAGCTCAACGCGCCTGAGTGGCCACACAAACATTTGTCATAGTTTGTTGGCTTTTTCTGCGCGTTTTTAAATTTATTTATTTATTTTCATAATGCGATTGCTTGGATTTGAAAAATAGAGAAAATACAGAGCATAAAGTTGACTGTGTGGAAATGTTCATTTTGAAAAACTTAGAATTTTTATCGCTGTATTTTACCTTTTAACCCCAAAAAATCAGCAGAAGTCGAGGAGGCATCAAGTTTTAGCAAAGTCGGGAAACTTTTTTGTTTGTTTAAGGCAAAGGAATAAAACAGACAACATAAAAATACTCAAGACTTTTTTTTTTTTTTTAGAATTAACAGTAAAATGTGGTGGGGCAGAGGTGAACAAACACCAAATGAAATAGACTGGCGAGCCATAAAATGAGATTTGAAGCCCCATTCAAATAAGAGTCCGCGACGTCAGTGCACTTATCCGACAGAGAGAAAGAGGTAGAGAGGGAAGGAAGGAGGGGAGGGAGGGAGGGAGCGAGAGAGAGAGCGCTGTTTGGTGTGTGGTTTGTACGAGAGGGGTGAGATTTGAGAAATAGGAGGGGCTTCTAAACGACTAGAAATGTCAATCTGAGCAAGGGAGTCCCAATAATCTAAAGCAATCTGTAAGGACCTGACCTTAGTCCATCCAGATCAATAGGGAAGTGCGGGTGGAGAGAAGAAGAAGGGAAAAGAAATAAGGGGCGCAACCGGATCGTTTACACTGGCTGTTCCCGAGGAAATATAGACTTCCCCTGCTCGCACCTTTTGTCGCTCACATGCTCACACTGTAAAAGTGGATATCGAGGCAATTTCATTGCTTTGTGTGAGCGCCGCAGACTTTTCCCCCCTTTTCCTACCGCCATGTCTTTCCCTCAGCTGGGATATCAGTACATCCGACCGATATACCCGCCGGAGCGCCAGGGGATCGCGAGCAATGCGCGATCCGGGACGGAGCTCAGCCCGTCCGGCGCACTTTCCAACGTCCTCTCCACTATGTACGGATCCCCCTTCGCCGCCGCGGCGCAGGGCTACGGAGCCTTTCTCCCCTACTCAAACGACATATCTATTTTCAACCAACTGGTGAGTGGTCTCTTTCTTCCCTCCTTTCATCAGTTTGTCGCAAACTTTGGCGCAGAAATGACTTCAGGTGACTCTCCGTGCGCATTTTTTCCGAGCCTAAACTTGTTAGAGAGTGACACAGTGAACTTTGTTGTGAAAACGTCCGAGAAAATGTAGTTATACAAAGTTAAAATGTCACGCATTAACACCGCGCGTATTCTCCCTCATGCTGCCAACTCTCAATTATTTGCAGCCGACCGCAAAAAAGTGCATAAAATTATGCAATTTCGTATGGAACATTTGGAGCTATTCGGGGAGTTTAATGTGTAAAAAAAAATCTGATCCACGTGAAAATGTGTTTAAAACGAATAAACGCGCAAACTTTTCTATTCAGTTGTAATCCCTGGGGATAATTTTAGGATGGGGTTTATAAATCACGTTCATACTTTAGGAACTAAACTACTCTTTTATTGCTATAAATCAAAATGTGGCACGTATTATCCGCTTGGATAACTCCACTTCATGAAGTATTTCAGTTTTCTTTTTTTTTTATAGATTAGGTCTAACCATTCCTTCTGACTTTGTCTCTGCAGGGTGCTCAGTATGAACTGAAAGACAGTCCTGGTGTCCAGCATCCTGGCTTTGCCCACCATCACCCTGCGTTTTACCCATACGGCCAGTATCAGTTCGGTGACCCGTCCAGACCCAAAAATGCCACCAGGGAGAGCACCAGCACCCTGAAGGCCTGGCTCAGTGAGCACCGCAAGAACCCCTACCCCACCAAAGGCGAGAAGATCATGCTGGCCATCATCACCAAGATGACCCTCACCCAGGTGTCCACCTGGTTCGCCAACGCCAGGAGGAGGTTAAAGAAAGAGAACAAGATGACCTGGGCCCCGCGGAACCGCACCGACGAAGAGGGAAATGTTTACACCAGCGATCACGAGGGGGAGGAGGGGGACAAGAGGGAGGACGAGGAGGAGATCGACTTGGAGAACATCGACACGGAAAATATTGAGAACAAGGACGACTTGGACGACCAGGACGACCTGCACTCTGACATCAAACTAGACGGACGCAGTGACTCTGAGATTTCGGACGGCTATGAGGATTTACAAGGGCCGGAGCAGAGGTTTCTAAAGGCTGTGGGGAAAGAGGGCAAAGAGGGACAGAGGGGAGGAGAGCACTTCCACCACCACCACCACCTCCACCACTCTTCTCCTTTGGACATCAAAGCGTCCCAGCCCAACGGAGAGCAGCTCAAACTCAACCCGGTGTCCGCGGGCTCGCCGCCCTCCGAGAACAGCCCGGCCCCGACCCAGAAGCCAAAGATCTGGTCTCTGGCGGAGACGGCCACGGCCCCGGACAACCCGCGCAAATCGCCGCAGATGAACGGCGGACACTCCGCGGGGCCGGCCGCCCAGACCCTCATCGCCCCGCACAGACTCATCTCCTCGTGTCCCGTTGGGAAAATCCAGAACTGGACGAACCGGGCCTTTTCCGCGCACCAGCTGGCTTTACTGAACTCCAACCACTACCTGGGACTGGCCAACCAGGCCACGGCCACCGGCCTGGCCCTCTACAGCAGCAGGCAAACGGAGGACAAAAGTCATAGTTCAGACACTCCAGTCACAGGTACATGTCCCCGACACTGAGACGCGCATGTGTACATAACTCCCCCCAAAAACTAAAACGCTTCTCCATCCTTCGTTTTTCGTTTATTTTGACTTTAGACCCCCCTTTTCTTCGTCTTTGCCTCATGGATTTAATTTTTTTTCTTTAAATGCCTCACAGATGATCAGTGTTACAATATTAGAGTTTAAAGAAGACAATGTGTGTGTGTGAGTGTGTGTGTGTGTGTGAGAGAGAGAGAGAGAGAAAGAGAGAGAGAGACTGCTTTGAACATGTCAAAAAGAATGACAGAGGAAAAGAAAAAAAGGGGGAAAAAATCAAAGAAAAAAATTGTATTTGGTGAATTCTGTTTAAAATTTTCTCTTTGCCCCTGGATTTTATTTGTTGATGATGCATTCACAGGAGACGCACGTGTGCATGTTTAATTTCCTTTAGCACAGTTATCGAAAGATCTAGTGCCTTGGATGCAGAGAAAAAGTTACTAGAAACAGCTCTCCCCCAGTTCAAAGACAGCGAGGCTGTCAGGAAAATTCCAATTGGGAATTTTAATTTTAATGCCATGCCACATTTCTTTCTTTTTCAATGGCACGCATCCCCCAAATTAGCTTTGATACTGTTTGTTTTTTTTCTTCTTCAGTTTTTATTTCTACTCTTTTGTATCCTTGGGTGTGCGCGCGCTTGTGTTATTCCGTCAAGGCCTAAGTGGCTCTCACTTGTCTGGTCATGCAAATGAGCTCAAAGCAAATTCACTCGATTTTGAAAAGCAACTGTCACTTTTATTTTACTTGGCGTTTTAGTTTTCCGTGAGGCTTATATTTTTATTTTTCCTCCTCTACATTTTCTTTTTATTTTTAATGTTATCTATCTACCTACTATCTATATCTATATCTATCTATATATATATATATATTATTTTTTTTCCCCATCCTTGCTGTGTTTCATTTCAGGCCTCAGAACCAACTAGAAGCAGTGATGGTTCTCTCAGCTCTCTTCTCCCCACGCATCCTCCTTTTTTCTTTTAAATTTTCATTTGAATATGGAATGTAAAATAAGAATAATACATCTCTGTATAGCCTACTTACATTGTAAGCATGTCCTGTGTAAAACTGCTAATGTAATAATGTATGAACCTGTAGTCTGTGAGTTTTTTTTTCCTTTCTTTTTGTAAGTTCTGTGAGGATTTGATGTTCAAATGTTTTGTATATAAAGTTAAGAATATGTACATACTTGTGAACCAAATTGTACAAGAAAGTCTATATTTTGGCTAATAAATGAACTGCTGCAACTTAAAAAAAAAAAATTTGCTGTTTGTGGCCGAAGTATTTTGACAGCTGCTTTTGATGGTGGAGGTTATTGTGCATGGCAGCTTGACGTGCACAGCTTTGGGCTTTGCTGTGTGTGTGTCTATGTGTGTGTTTGTCTGTTAGTGGACAGCCTGGGGCGCAGACTTCATCCTCCGTTGCAGCGATAAGTAAATATTCGAGAGGGATTTATCACACTTTTATAGTAGAGGGACTTAAGGCTAATTAGCCGGTGCTGCGGCATACATTTGGATATTAATGTTGTGGGATTATCCCTATAGAGGCGTAGCGCTCGTATTAAAATGAATGATTCTTTCATTATTTTTGCTCTGAATTTATGCTTTGAAAATGAGACTTGAAATAACAAATGACTGTTCGAGCATGGTTGGGAATCGGGCAGAATGGTCAGGTTGAACCTGAAGATGGATTCTGGCTTAGCAGCAGAACTCCCACCTCTCATTTGGCTCAATTTGTAAAGCTTTCGCTGCTCACATCTATCACGCGTTTTCCTCAACTAAGGCCGCTCTACGGTTTAATTGTAATATATCGTGGCTGTACAACTAATAATAACATCATTTATTCTGTTTGCCCGTGATGTGATCATTTGCATGTGCGAGCCCTTATCAGGGGAAGTTTATGTAAACTTAGTGTTGGAGCTCCCTCTACAGTCTCAAGCAGTCGGCCTCGCGCGAGACGCACAGATTTCACACACCTTCTTATCTCCTCGCTCACCTCTTTTTTTTGGCCCATTCTCAACCGATCCAGCATATATGATGCGCATTTCGATTAGATATTTTCAACTTTTAGGAAATCAAAAGGCTTCCTCGGGCCTTCGGGTTGTCGCTGCATTTTTTGTTTCAGCAGAAAACATGTGCTGGGTTTGTTTCTTTGCTCAGAAAGCCAAAAAATGTGTGGACAAACAGTATGTAGAAAATTCAGTTCGTATGAAACTGTTAAAAAATAACACGTTAAAAAATCTAGAATATATTTTTTTAGTCAAAGTTACATCCTGTCGGAACAATGTAAAAAGAAAAAAAAGATATGATTCAGTTTATGCCTTAATGTGTTGACCAATAATTTGTTTATTGAAAAAAAACATATTCTCTATCATCTTTTTATTTTAGCATTTGCAGCGAAGCTTACCTTTTCAACAAAATAAGACTGAATGCAGCATTTAAAAATTAAACGTTGGGAAAGCTAAATGTAAGAGTCAATTATGGAAAAGGAAAATTAAATAAAAATCGTCTTCGAATTTGGTGAACGTAAATGAAAAAAACCCAAAAGACTGAAAAAAATAAAGAAATGCAAATCCTTATTTCAAACCGTCGTATTCTAAAACTTCCAAATGCATTATTTAATATCGGAATACATTATTTAGAGTGAAATATTATTTTTCCTTTATGCGTTTTTTAATTATGCATATTCATATCTCTAGAACGCGCGGAGGAACGCGCTCTGTCACACATTCCTCGACTGAGCTGGACAACAATGTGTTTTAATGTGTGCAGTCAGGCCGGCGCGGGCACATGAAACGCGCCTGAGCCCTATCCTCTCTGGGTTTAGAACGCGTTCTAAACGAACCCGGGCTCAGACGAGGGGGAACACTCCGGAGCTGTTTGGAGCTGCTCGCTCCATGTTGCTCTCCTGTCTAATCAATTATCTTCCTAGAGAGCCGCGTGTAACCGCGAGATGCATATTCATAAGTGGCATCAGTCAGCTGATTGATGTAGTAGCTGCTCCCCCCCTCTTTCTTTCTTTTTTGTTTTTTTTTGTTGTAAATGTTCGCGCAGTTCTTTTTGTTACAGGGACCAGCTTTACACTAGCATGGGGATGCGTAATTATACAACAGTAAAGGAAAATGAGTCCCAATGCTAATTAACCCATTGGAAAAAAAAAGAGGACAACACATCAAGCCCTCTGTGATAACTACAACAGCAAATAACATTTAACGAAATACTTAATGTAAAAAATGGCCTGTTTCTGAAATTAATGTGAGATATATTTATGCCATTACAGGTGGCTTTTTTTTTTTTTAGCTAAATGGCGGGCTATGAGGATACCCTGAAACATACAGTTGCCTATTTCATCACAGCTCACAGGATGTTTACTCCTCAGGGGCCCACAACAAGCCCCCCTCTTGATCATGGGGATTCAGTGGAAATGCTACTGAAGGGCCAGTGATCATGTCTAGAGCTCAGGGCCTCTCCTCTGATCAGTGCATGAAATTAGGGATTAAAATGCCTCTGCAGAAACAAAGTAATCATGCCTGCTTATGTCGCCATACGTGTCCAACCTGCTCTCAGTTACAAAGAGCAAATGGAATGCATTAGGTTTAATTTTGTTCAGGGCTTCACAGGGACCGTATCCACGGGGCTGCTGAGGGAGTGTGGGGTAGAAGTGGGGCGGAGGGGTTGACAGACTGTAACTCATTTCCCAAAACATTAAGTGGTTGTACTCTCGTCTAATGAGCAATAATCAACACTGACTCCTCTTCTTATTTCTGAGGTTGGTGCTGCGTTCAAGGTTCAGATATTGTGGGGAATGGACAGCACTGCAGCCCAGAGCTGGCTGAAAAAACACACAATGATCTACTTATAGAATAAAAATGGGTAAAAGAGTTAAAGGTAGATGTGTAAGGGGAAAAAGAGCAAAATGTCACACTATGGATATATATTCTTCAGTTTTTTAGTTATTTATTTGTGTATATATGTATTTAGAAAATGATTCTCCAAAGCCAGAGGGTGTGTTTGTGTCTTGTAAGTTTGTGAAGCTGAGTTTCATGTTTCTCTGGCCACTTTAAAAAGCAACAGATTCTCAATTATACTCTCTGTCTTGTAATTAGAAAACTAATTAATTAATAGTTTTATGGAATTAGGACTGTGAGAAATATGTACGGTGTTGGACACACTGAAAACAAATTACGTTTCATTTCCCGTCTAATCACATTGTGTGTGTTGTCCTGAGCAGTGCTGGCTTTGGCCCCTCAATACTCTGAGACAGGGCTACACACTGCTACACGGGCGGAAAAAGTAATGCACTGTTAAACACCTATTTAGGAGGGGGAAAATCTAAGAAAGATGGAATCATTAAAAGGAAATCTAATCTGTCTTCCGGAGTGTTCATTGATCTGGGGAAAAGGTGGGAAAGCGGTAGCGGGCAGCTGAAAGGGTCTGGCCGATGGAGCCATCAGAGGGCCGAGGGTGAATAGGGGAGAAATCGTGGAGTAAATAAACACCAGAGCGGTCCTTTGGAAGGGGGGCAGAGGTGCCCTGTGAAAGAGGAGGCAGCTGCAAATAAAGAGGGGACACTCATCTGTTTTCACCTCACCCTCCCCTTCAGTCATTGTAGTCCTACCAACAGGCCCCAACGCCTCCTTCCCCTCGTACCCCGCAGCCCGGGCCTATCGGCCACGCCCCCTCCTGCCACAGAGACGGACAAATGTCACCTCCTTTGTGCACCCGGTCAGACTCAGAAGTGGCCCACTGTCTTTGTGCAGTGGACTAATCCTTTTATGTAGCCACTGTTGACCGCGCCCCCCCCCCCACCCAGCGCTCATCCGGGGCTAAGAGAGTCACTGCCCTTTTTTTTGCCAGCGCCGGGCCTGTGTTGTTGCCTCACCGGGAGGAGTAGGGGATCTGCTCCCAAGAACACATGTTTCTCACAGCACATACCTTCATACCCGGGCCAGAAGGACGCTGCACTCCACGGCAACTTGTTACGACAATCCCACTCCGGAGCTCAAAGAGAGGAAAAAAAATGAAGAGCTTTGCTTTTTACCTCTCCCAGTGATATGAGACTTCTGTGTCTCCTGCATGTTTTATGGCACATTCATTATTGAGAACGTGAGTTAAAGTGCACCAGTTACATGTTAAAGCATAGCCAGGGAGCAGA